GGTGGCCACTGGCTTTCTCCATCCATTGGAGCCTCAGGCTCCTCTACCTGCTGGGTATCCTGCCAACTACACCAATTGTCTGTATCACTGTGCACACTGTTTGCTGAGCCCAGGGTAGGCCAGGCCGAGTGGGGTAGCTAGAAGAAAACTCAAGGCGCTGTAGGGACTGCAGACGTCTTTATTCTCTCCAGGCTGGTGCATAGCCATAGCAGCAGACACGCCGTATTCTCTCTTGGTTGACCCAGCAGACACAGTCTTGACGCAGCTTTAAGGCAGCCGCAAGGGCTTTTCAGGCTTATATATTCTTACGGAACAAGAGGCCTGTGGCCAAGCAGGTACATGGGGACACGCATGTGCAGTGCTGTAAGTGATCTCAGCTGTTACATAACCATGTATTTACAAAATGTGGGGCAAGAGCGAGTGGCTGTGGGGTGAGAGAGCCTGGCCACAGCATCTTGGCTGGTTTGCTCTTTCCCTAACACAGGTAATGCCCCAACCTTCCTCCCCTCAACCCCAGAAGCTCTTAGAAACTTGTCTTCAGCACTGGGGTTCTGAAGTGAGCGTTTCCTGGTGTATTTCCCCCAGTGTGCTCCATGTGGCACTCAGAAAGTCCCCTCAGTTTGAAGACCTGCATCTTCACTCTTTTCTCTTCTTTCTGCCTCTGTCCAGTGGCATGTCCCCTTCCACACGACCCGCCCGGAACACAGGGCCTCACCTGTGCTCCATCCCGAGCTGGAGGGGTCGAGTCTGTCCCCAGCGTGGCTGCAGGAGTTGGGCCCTTGAAGGCTGGTCAGACTGTGAACAACATCTGCTGAGGGTTCTGCAGCTTTTCAGCTTTACTGGGAAAGGGGGTTGAGGTGGGGGACCCAGCACAGACAGGCGCCCAGAGGCTGCCAGCCCCACCACAGGGGCCCTTCCCTCAAGTCACCTCCTCAGAGCTGCCTCTTCTTACCACCATCACCACCCACCCCCTGCCACAGACATCCAGGCCGCAGCCTCCATCAGCCTTGAGGTAAACATAGGAATGTTCTCTGCAGGGCACTGTGTGCTGACCAGCTGTGTTCTTTGGTTTTTTTCTCCAAAGGGAGGGATTCCTCTTACAGTTGCTTTATTTTTTCAGTGGATACAGAAAGCGCAGTTCTCAGCTCAAGGCTGGGTGGGAAGGAGGGGACTCTGGGGAGGGGGATGCAAGGGGCAGCTGAGGGGTCCCCCACCCCACCCCCACACCAAGCACTCAGCCCTATGCCAGGCACATGCACAGGCTGAATAAGAGGCAGATCCAGAAATATGCTTAGTGCAATGTCATCAGGAGCAGAAACTAGATTCTAGGAACATTCAAATGTCCAATTTTGTGTAACATGAGTGGCCTTTTGAGCGCTGGATAATTGATGCTTTTGAACTGTGGTGCTGGAGAAGACTCTTGAGAGTCTCTTGGACTGCAAGGAGATCAAACCAACTGATCCTAAAGGAAATCAACCCTGAATATTCACTGGAAGGACTGAAGCTGAAGCTCCAATATTTTGGCCACATGATGTGAAGAGCCGATTCATTGGAAAAGACCCTGATGCTGGGAAAGATTGAGGGCATGAGGACAAATGCGCAACAGAGGATGAGATCTTTGGATGGCATCACCAACTCAATTGACATGAGTTTGAGCAAGTTCCAGGAGATAGTAAAGGACAGGGAAGCCTGGCATGTTGTAGTTCATAGGATCACAAAGAGTCAGACACAACTGAACAATGAGCAGCTTTTTAACTCTTTTTTTAAATTTCATTTTTAGAAATGTAGATTTTTAGGTTGCTCCTATTGTTATTTAATTAAAACTTATTATAGTGTAGCAACATCTGGTGGATCATCAAAAAAGCAAGAGAGTTCCAGAAAAACATCTATTTCTGCTATATTGACTATGCCAAAGCCTTTGACTATGTGGATCACAACAAACTGGAAAATTCTGAAAGAGATGGGAATACCAGACCACCTGACTGACCTCCTGAGGAAACTGNGAGATCCAACCAGTCCATCCTAAAGGAAATCAGTCCTGAATATTCTTTGGCAGGACTGATGCTGAAGCTGAAGCTCCAATACTTTGGCCACCTGATGCAGAGAGCTGACTCGTTTGAAAAGACCCTGATGCTGGGAAAGATTGAAGGCAGGAGGAGAAGGGGATGACAAAGGATAAAATGTTTGGATGGCATTAGCGACTTGATGGACATGAGTTTGAGCAAGCTCCTGGAGTTGGTGATGGACAGGGAAGCCTGGCATGCTGCAGTCCACAGGGTCGCAAAGAGATGGACACAACTGACCGAATAAACCAAACTGATGGTGTAGCAAAACGTGTCCTGTCATCATTTTAATTTTTTTTAATTTATTTATTTTCGGCTGCACTGGGTCATATCGTTGCTGCCTGCGGACTTTCTTCAGCTGCAGCAAGCAGGGGTTACTCTCTAGCTGTGATGCATGGGCTTCATCTTGGTGGCTCATTGCAGAGCACAGGCTTCAGGGCACAGGCTCAGTAGTTGTAACGGGTGGGCTTAGTTGCCCTGAGGCATGTGGAATCTTCCCTGTCCAGGGATCGAACCAGTATCCCCTACATTGCAAAGCAGATTCTTAACCACTGGACCAAGAGGGAAGCCCCGTCATCATTTTAGACTTATAAATATTTGTACATTATCTCACTGAGGATAAAGTGCCTTATAAATCTAGATTAGTGGTAACATCGTCAACCAAAGTGGAGGGAACGTTCCATTCGGTTACTTCTCTGAGGGCAGCAATGGCACCTGCAGACTCGCCTCCTGGTGCTCGACTCTGGAGCGGAGAATCCTGGGTGAATGAGAGGTGGGGGCCACGGGCGCCTGCCTAGCAAAGGGCTGTGGGCCTTGCCGTCCGGGGCAGCGCTGGGCTGGGTGCGGGTTCTGGTGACCATGGGCCCTGCTCCAGTCTCTTTGGAGACAAGGAGACACCCTCTCAGCTTGCGGTCCTCTGTGGCCACTCCTCGCCATTTCAGATGTGACCGGATGAGTGTGGAGAGAAGAGGTGAGGACTGGGGCCTCTGATCCCTGCTCACTGCCCACTTTGTTTGCGCCATCCACGGTGGTCCTGCTCCCTGGCCGTTACGTCTAACTTTTGCCCTCTCCTTGAACTTCCTCCCCAAGGCCTGCGTCCTCACCGTCTGCACTCGCTGGCCTCTCATGTCATATGAGAGGCCCCGGCATGGCTGGGGCACGACCCAGGGTCCTCCTTATGGAGGACAACGCCTTTGACCCTCTGAGGTTCAGGACCCACCATCCAGCTCCAAGCCTGGTCGCTCCAAGTCCCTGCCTATCCCCCTGGAATTTGCCCAACGACCACCCACATGCCCTGGCTCCCATCCCACTGCTCGAGCTGGTCTAAACCCCACCTCAGTCTCAGTGTCCATCTAGGCCCACCATCCACACTTTGCCTCTGGTGGTTCTAAGGAAGGTCACCAGCCTTTCCCGAAGGCAGCTGTCCTCAAGGCTCACACCCCCGGCCTGCACCACAGCTCTGACCGTCGACCGCACACGAGCCTGGAAATTACCCTTGAAGGCAGCTCCACACACAGCACAGGGAAGGCCCTGCCCCTGCCTGACTCAGGTCTGAATGTCCCCCTGGGCTGACAGCCCGTCTGGACAGTGCTTGGTTCTCCTGGGTGCTGGGGGAGGCAGGGCTCTGTGTCCTAGGACTCACACTCCCCTGGGACTGATGCCAGGGAAGTGCCGGGGAGCCCAGGATCAGATGCAGCGGAAGACAGGACTGGGAGGTGGAGGGGGTCAGTAGAAAGCAGGCGGGACGACCATCAGTCACATGGGGCCAGCGAACACTTTCCAACAAATATGTTAACAACTTCATACACACAAGACAGACAGCAGTGCAGAAACATGTAAAGTTAAGAACGGTCCAGAATTTTCTAAGACTGACAAATAATATCAGCTCACAGACTCAAGGAGCCAATGTAATAAAACAGCTGAAACCAAAGACAAAGTGCAAATATTGAAGCAGGAGGGAAAAGGCACCAACCATTATATTTGACAGCACAGAGTTGCTCAGCTGCAAACACCATTCTCCTCCAAAGAAAGGGAAGAGTGACCCCCAGCGGCGACTCAGGGTCACCAGGGCTGCCACTGCCCACTCCCCAACCCCCCACCCAGGTGAGGTAAGGCTGCTTCCCCTTCACAGGGCGGGAAGGAGGGGTGTCTCTGGTTTCACTGGAATGATGCTATCCAAGGTCTCGGGGTGGCGGTCACAGTGAGTTGCTTGAGTGGCCGGAGCAGAAGGGTTACTGCCATCCAGTGGGCCTGGAAGGCAAAGCATCAAACCAGAGGATTCCTGTCCAGCCTTACAAGCTGATAGAACTCGACTTGCTGTGTCCGGACGTGCCTGGGACCCCTCACTGTCTGACTCCTTCCAGCCTCCCATGGGAACAGCAGTGTCTCTCTGGCCCCCATCCTGTCACTGTGTTTAAGAAGGACAGACTTGTGTGATTCCATGGGTCACGGAAAAATAGCCTCTGGGCCTCTGGGCATGAAATCCATGCATAGAGCTCCATCCTCATGATGGAATCATCCTAACCCCACCTTACCGGGGATTAGTTTTCGACACAGGAGCTTCGGGAGGACATAAACATTCAGCCTACAGCAAGTCCACAATGTACAATCCCATTCACACAATGTTGGATCCAGGCTAAAGTCTGGTCACAGAAGCCGGCATCACCCTTAGTGGTGGTTCGGGGTGGGAGGGGCACTGGGGGCCTCCAGTGTACTGAAGGGTGTTGGTCCAAGGGCTGGTTTACACGTGTGCCTACTTTGTGAAACTTCATTCATCTGTATACTCATGACTTGTGCAATTTGGGGTATATAATTTATATTTTAATAAAAAGTTAACTAAAAATCAAAATCACACATACCAGAAAAGGTTATAAAGCAATGCATATGCTTCTGAAAAATGAAGTATGTGCACAGAAACAAGATATACACTGACATTCATTTATTAAAAAATATTTATTGAGCATGTCCTATGTGCTGACCCATAACTTATCTGGAAGACGTTGCTACAAGTGGACTACCCCATGCAGAGCCCCACCACATGCATCACACCTCCAGCTCTTGCGATGATCTGGGACGCCACGTCCGTGAGCTGAGCGATGAGCCGAGGGCGGGAAGGACACACGCACACACGATGCATGAACATCCACCTTCACAGCACAGGGTTGACAAGCATGTCCTGTGAGCTCAGGACGGGCCTGGCTGAGGGACAGTGGGCCACCAACTACCCACAGTGGACACTGGAAACACAGCCCAGGTTTCAGGACGGGCAGGGCAGTGACAATGGTGAGTGCGAGCCCCGCAGCGCCAGGCGTATGGGGAGGACCCTGAAGCCCTGAGCCCGTGGGTGGGGGTGTCACCACCCCATCCTGGAGCAAGTCCATGGCTTTCCCAGGACACGCATCCGTCCAGGAGTGACTCCTCAGAGTCACGTATGTCCCCCAAGATGCAATGGACGTCCCCCACAGAGCTGTCCTGTCATCTCCAGATGGGAAAGACTTTCTCCCCAACCTGAGAAAGACAAAGGAAATGAAAACAAACCAATCAGACAGCAAGCCATGTCAGTTTCATGAACATGCAGTATTTCCTAATAATAATTTAACATTGGACAAGAGGCCGGCATTCAGGTGAAGGTTTTTCTTTTAATGACAAGCATTTCCACTTTCAGCATAAAGCCAAGCACAAAATGGTTTGCTTGATTATTATCTCTCCTGCGTGAACCGGAGTGAGGAAGAGGATTCTCAGTGGCCTCTGAGCCACGAGCCACAAGGCCCCGCCAGCCATGCTCACTTCAGCCTCAAACTGCAGCCTCGGCCAGGACTCGGCTCCACTACACATCCACGGGGGCCATGGCAAGGTGCACGCTGTGAGCAAGGCCGCACTATGGCCCAGCCCTCGCCTCTCTCTGCACCCGGAGTCTCCTGGTCTCTGGTCTCACTGACCAGCCAAGTCTCAGAGGGAGAACTTACCTCCCTGCACCACTGCTTCCTGTGACCAGGAGGGTCCACCTCCTGCCATGAGGATTAGAAAAACAACACAGACCAGTTCTGGCATGGAGTCTGCTGGGGTGGGAACAGTCACCCACCACTATGACCCCCACAGACCCGCCACCTTCCAGGACAGCATCAGAGCACAAGACTCTAGAGCTAAATATCTTACTTTCTGCAATGCAGGGTCTTGTGCAGAAGTGATGAACCAGCTCAGGGTGACAGACATGTGTCGCCTCCACACGGGGTTCCTCTGCAACACCACTGTGCCCGTGACCACATCTCCCACGAGGACGGGGACAGGCTCATCCATCATGAACAGCACCTGCTTCCAATGGGTAGTGCTGCAAGACAGGGCGAGGGGTCATCTAAGCCTGCCCCCTCTGGGGATGCCATGGGACCCCCACACCCCCGCCCCGGGATCATACGGCTGCACGGGACCCAGGTGGGGTCACAGCCTGGCCGGGAAGGTGGGTGGATGCAGCTGTTGGATGCTGCTCAGGTTCCCTGGTACCTGAGGTGGACAGGCCACAAGGGCATGTGGCCAGACACAGGTCCTGGCCCCTCTCTGGGTCAACCCAGCCTCCACGAGCTGGCAGAGCAGTGCCCACCCAAGGCCACTGACCCTGAACTGTGATGCCCACGGTCCCAGTTCATGCTGTTAGAGAGAGATTCACACTCATGAAATCGTGCCCTAAAGAAGTCATTACTTCTCTGAATTTGGCTGAGTGTGAGCAAGACAAGGGCAGCATGTGGGCGAGCAGGGACACCCCAAACTCAGCAAGTTCTATGGCTCGACACACGAGTGCCTGGGGTGGGCCCAGTCACACCAGCACCAAGGTTCTCTGTGGCCTCTTTCCCTTCGTCACAGTATCTCTGATGCACAGGCACCCCACCTCAGCCACAGTGGTGGTCTCCTTTCCCCAGCCCACATGTCCCCTCATCCCCACCCCCACACCACCTGTGTGCGGATAATCCCCACCCAACGCTCGAGTCGGAAACGTCAGGCACACCCGGCTCACGGGCCTGGGAGGAGGCCTGGCTGGAGTCCACTCTGGCCATTCAGCTCCTCCTGCTGCTCAACTTTCACAAAGGATGCCCAGGTCCTCCCTGGCCCAAAGGCCACAGTGGGGTCTGACCCAGGCGGCCGCCACCCTGCCTGAGGCCGTGCTCACTTCTGCCAACCACATGGTGCAGGCAAGTAGCAGGTTCATGTGAAGGGGAGTGGAGTCTGAATGTGAAGGCAGTGCTCCCGGGGCTCCAGTGCTCCAGCCCCACAGACAGACAACACAAGTTGCATCCCCACACACAGGAGCAGGAGTGTAGCTCTGAAATGTTACTACATGAAAATTGTATCTCAGGAAACATCCACCTTCTCCGAGAGTCAGAGGAAAAGCCCCTGGAATTCTGAGCTGCAGCCGCAGTGGGGCCACGGAGAGAAGGTGGAAGCTGACCATCCAGGGCATCAGGGGCTCCCCTGCCAGTGCAGGGGCCAAGGCGACCCAGACTCACCTCCACACACAGCCCTGCCCAGCACCCAGCACCACCCACACGCCCGGCCTCGGGCTCGGATGGGTCTGGAGAGATTTGGGTCCATTCTGACACGTCTAGCTCTTTACATTCGTGACTCTGTCAGGCCTCCTCTGCGGCCCACGGTGAGCGGGGGCGGCACACTCACGGGTGCAGCGGGCCAGTGCTCAGCACCAGCTGTGGCTCGTCCTCCTCCAGGTTCTGAAACTGGACGCTGAACCAGGCTGTGAATCCATGCAGCGTGCCTGCCTTCTGTATGTCAAAGTGCAGCTCGCCTTTCATCGTCTGTGTTCAAGGCAACAGGTGAGAAGTGGGTGCCGGCCCTGGGCGCATGGGACCCATGGGCAGCGGCCACCTCCAGGTGGCCATCCAAGACCCACACCACCACCCTGGGCAGCCACACTGTCTACTTCAGTAGCTACGACACAAATCTGTAACTTGCTAATTTAGCCGAACATGTCAAAAACCCAGAGAAAAGAAACGCTACAGCTTGCATTCTGAACTCAAATGCTGCAATCAGAAAAGTCTGGGGTAATCTAGGTCTCATCAGCCTGATTTTCTGTCCCCAAATCCAAGCAGAACACTTTCTCAATTTTCTGTAGAAACAGGAAATTCCAGATTGAGTCTCTATGATCCCAACACAAATTGAAGCCTCAGGTTCAGTCTGCCCGTGGTTTTGTATTGTAAGTTCCATAAGCGGGTCCCTCCGCTTTGGAGGGACCCTTAAAATGGGGTTGTCCAGAATCCACACACGCCCCCTCATGGCCACAGATGGTAAGAGAATTATAAGAATTTTGTCATCAGTGGGAGCTAAAAAAACTTAGGGAAAAATTTTAATTCAAATCCTATCATGACACATAATTTATCTAAATTTGTACATGCCGAGAATATGAAACATAAATCTAAAAATAACTGAAGATGTTAAAGAGGTTAGCTATAAAGAAAATAACCTAAAAATACTAAAAACAAAATCAGAATAGATTACAAAGACTGAAAATCAATAGCAACGAATCTAACTCATTTATTTGAATGAATACATGGGGGAGGAAGGAAGGGTTATCTCTCCTCACCTCAAGGTCGGCGACCTGCACAGTTCTCATGTCCAACTGTAATATGGTGCATGGCTCAGAGAGACAGTCGTCTGGTTTCAAAATGTGGTTATACTTGGGCTTCGAAAAAAACTCCTTAATTGCTAAAGATCTGGGGGAAAAAAGTAAGTGCTCAGCATCTGAGATGACACAGCCCCCATCTCAGGCTGTCACGCTCCCTCCTCTGTGTTAGCAGGAATCCTAACTCACCGTCTGCAGCCCCGAGAGCAAAAGGCAGGGCCAAGGAGGCCCGAGGAGGCCGGCTCTGGTGGGCAGCAGCCGAGAGTGGGAGCCACAGGCATGTCCCTCTGTGTCCCACTCACATACCCGGAGGACACAGGAGCCACGGGAAATTAAATTTCAGTGAGTGGTGTGAGAGGACACATCTCCTCCAAGGGGCCCACCAACGTCCCTGGGAAATGCACGGCCACAGTCCTCCCACCCCCAGATCACGGTGCCCTTTTCCAGACACTGCAGACCCGCTCAGAGCTTCCTCTGCCCTCCCTGGTCACTTTAATTACCAGACATTAATACCAGGCAATATAAGGATCCCCCTGCCCTTTCTAGATCTTCCCTCGCTCCCGCCACATCAGTCCTGCACAATCCACAGAGCAGCTGTCGGAGACTCCCCGCTCCACCCGCTTCCGGATTTGGGTTGAGAATGCGACGACTCAAAACATGAGGGAAGATTCCATACCTCTACACTGATATTTTTTTCTTTTTTTTTTTTTTTGAGTTTTTTATAAAAAACAGAACGTCCCAGAGGCCCCCATCTTGCTGCCAAGCCCCACCTGGTCATCTGGCAGGTGAGCAGCCATCTCTGATGAGGGGCCCTTCCCTGGCCCCAGGACAACTGCGAGGCCTCCCCTTTCTGCCTCCTGCTGGCCTCGGAGGGGAGGCAGCCACATACACACATCATCCTTCTCAAGGAGGAAATGTGAAAAACGGGAGGCCCTTGTGAGGAGACCATTTATGTCAAAACCTGAAGCTCTGCCACAGGTGTGACAGTAACTCAGAAACTGGGACGGCCACCACACATTCTGGGGCACTGCTTTCTCTGACAAAGGCCAGCAGGGACTCCACTAACACATTTTCTGGCCCTTATTAAACACTCATGGCTCTTCGTGGGATCATCTGTCTGTTTTAATGGCCCACATTACCTGATGCTTCCTATCATGTTTGGGGCCTTATAAACAGGTCATTTCAATTCTGTTCTCAGCCTAAAGGCCAGGAAGGCAATAGGCTGCCTTCTCAGTCATGTGAACAAACTGAACTCCCAGTGGTGAGGGTTTTCTGGCCCTGTGGCCTGCGCACCTGCAGGCAGGGAGCCTGCCGCTCGCCTGAGAGCATGGAGGTGAGGGTCTGGTCTGGGGTTCGGTCCCACAGGCCGGGAGCCCCACGCTCGCCTGAGGGCACTGAGGTGAGGGTCTGGCTGAGGGTTTGTGCCCTGGAGGCCGGGAGCCCCAGGCTCGCCTGAGGGCACTGAGGTGAGGGTCTGGCTGAGGGTTTGTGCCCTGGAGGCCGGGAGCCCCACGCTCGCCTGAGGGCACTGAGGTAAGGGTCTGGCTGAGGGCTCGTGCCCTGGAGGCCGGGAGCCCCACGCTCGCCTGAGGGCAGTGAGGTGAGGGTCTGGCCTGGGGTTCGTGCCCTGGAGGCCGGGAGCCCCACACTCACTTGAGAGGGCTGAGGTCGAACTCATAGGCGTTGTCCCAGAAGAGCACCTTGCTCCGGTAGTCCTTGTCGGCGCTGCAGGGCACCAGGTGCAGGGCGGCTGTGGTCGGCCAGATGACCCCGTCCTCCTTCAGCCAGGCGTCCCGGGCATACAGGATGGACTCGATCATGAACTCAAACTGCACGGAGGGAGGCACACGGGAGACAGAGTGGCTGAGCTGGTGTCCGCTCCCCCCGCCAGGGCACTCATACCCCGGGGACTGTCACGGACAGGACGAGCTGCCAGCTCACCGGAGGGTCTCTCTGACACCGTCACAACAGTGGTCACTGGGTTTAAGCCCACTGACCCACACTGCTCCTCGGAACTGGGCACGGCCGACGGTCAGGGAACTTGCCCTCTCGCCCACCCTGCCCACCCAGGAGACAGCTGTCACCACAAGCGTTCTGGGGTCTTAACCCTCAAACAGTATCACTCTGGTCCGAGGTATTCTCAAAACTTTCACCATGCTTTAAGTTGACCGAAGTCACTTCTCAAAAATGTGGAACAGCAAAGCAGGAGTGCCGCGGAGGTCACGTGACCCGCATGTCAAAAGCAGCAAGCGGCCCAAGAGCCCCTCGGGGGTGTTGAGTTTTGAGGATTCTTCATATGTTCAGGGTGCACACTGTACATATGAGTTGCAAATATTTTCTCCTAATCTTGGCCTTTCATTTTCTTAACATTGTCTTTTACAGAGCAGACTTTTTAATTTTGATGAAGCCCAATTTATCAACTTTTCCTTTAATAGAGTATGCTTTTGGAGTCACACCTAAAAACGCTTTGACTAATCGTTAACATTTGCTATGATTTCTTCCAAAAGTTTTACCATTTTATATTTAAGCAATTAGATATAATCAATTTTGAGTTCATTGTTCAAGATGAGATATGAGGCTTAAAGTTGAAGCTTTTTTTGGTTTATGGACGGCCAACTCTTCCACTATAATTTGTTGAAAAGACTATCTTTTCTTCATTAAATTGACTTTGTTCCTCTGTTAAGAATCAGTTGACCGCATCTGTAGGAATCTACTATCCATTCTGTTCCACTGACTTACATGTCTATCATTTCACCAGGTTCACAGTCTTGACCACCAGAGCTTTATACTAAAGTCAGGTAGTACAGTTCTTCCGATTTTGTTCTTCTTTTAAAAATTGTGGCATTTTCCTGGTGGTTATGTTGCTAAGACTCTGTGATCCTAATGCAGGGGGCCCAGGTTCAATCCCTGGTCAGGGAAATAAAATCCCACATGCCATGACAAAGATCCCCAACTAAGATCCGGCACAGCCAAGTAAATATTTTTTAAAAACTGTATCAGCTATTCTAGCCTGTTTGTGCTCAGTCATGTCTGACTGTGATCCCATGGACTGCAGCCTGCCAGGCTCATCTGTCCATGAAATTTTCCAGGCAATAATACTGGGGTAGATTGCCATTTTCTTCTCCAGGGCTAGTTTATTTACATTGCACATAAATTTTACAATGAGCTTATCTGTATCTACAAAAAAATCCTGCTTGAATTTTTACTGGAATTGTATTAAGTCTATAGATGAACCTGGAGAGAAGGGGCATTCTTAATAGGCCGTCTCCAGCTCATGAACAATGCGTGTCGTCAACATTGTCGTCACAATCACGTGGAGTCAGCATCCAGAACTTGCACATGTTTTGTCTAGTGTCATCATTCTGGAGCCCCTGTAACGAGTCGTGAACAGTGCTAGTGTATAAAAACGTGACTGGCTTTTGTAGGCTGACTTGGTACTCCATGATCGTCTTAAACTTGCTCACTAGTCTAGGAAAGTTTTTGGAGATTCCCTGGCATTTTCTACAGAAACAATCACATCGTCTGAGAACAGAATTTATTCCTGTGCCTTCACTCTGTTTAGCTCCCATTTCTTCCTTCTCTCTTGCAATGGTTAGATTTCCCAGGACAATGTTGAGTAGGAACAGGGGAGCACCCCTTCCCACTTCATTCCTGCCCTGGGGGAAGTGGCCATTCTGTCCTAACAAGTAAAAAGCCAAACTGAGAAGTCAACAACTCTTCTAAAATCCACTAAGAGAAATTAGGTCACAGAGCAAACGGCCACCCCCAAATGATTGCCATTTTCTTCTCCAGGGCTAGTTTATTTACATTGCCCATAAATTTTACAATGAGCTTATCTGTATCTACAAAAAAATCCTGCTTGAATTTTTACTGGAATTGTATTAAATCTATAGATGAACCTGGAGAGAAGGGGCATCCTTAATAGGCCGTCTCCAGCTCATGAACAATGCGTGTCGTCAACATTGTCGTCAAAATCACGTGGAGTCAGCATCCAGAACTTGCACATGTTTTGTCTAGCGTCATCATTCTGGAGCCCCTGTAACGAGTCGTGAACAGTGCTAGTGTATAAAAACGTGACTGGCTTTTGTAGGCTGACTTGGTACTCCATGATCGTCTTAAACTTGCTCACTAGTCTAGGAAAGTTTTTGGAGATTCCCTGGCATTTTCTACAGAAACAATCACATCGTCTGAGAACAGAATTTATTCCTGTGCCTTCACTCTGTTTAGCTCCCATTTCTTCCTTCTCTCTTGCAATGGTTAGATTTCCCAGGACAATGTTGAGTAGGAACAGGGGAGCACCCCTTCCCACTTCATTCCTGCCCTGGGGGAAGTGGCCATTCTGTCCTAACAAGTAAAAAGCCAAACTGAGAAGTCAACAACTCTTCTAAAATCCACTAAGAGAAATTAGGTCACAGAGCAAACGGCCACCCCCAAACTGGAAAAACTGAGAGGCCTGTAAGACGGCCCCTGACTTACGATGGTTCAGCTTCATGACAGGGCAATGGATATTCAGCAAAAACTATGCTTTGAATTTTGATCTTTTCCCAGCTAGTGATACACAGTGCAACACACACGTGCCACACAGGCCAGGGCCCATCAGCCATGCGATCATGAGGGTGAACGGTCCACACACTGACAGCCTCTCCCTTTCAGGACAGTATTCGTCGACTACGTGAGACTTTCTACACTCGTTTTCAACAGGCTTTGGTTGTGACTTTGCCCAACTGTAGGCAAGTGGGAGTGCTCTGCACACGTCTAAGACAGTGAGGCTCAGCTGTGACGCTCGAGAGCTGAGGTGTGTTACATGCATTTTGAACTCTGGTATTTTCAACTTAAGACAGGTTTGCCAGGACGCAGCCTCACTGTAAGTCAAGGAAGAGCTTCAGAGGGAATCGCAATTCACCAGAGCAGAAAATTCCCTGGAACCAGAGCCAGGGAGGAAGCTGAACCGTGGCTGACAGGCTGCTGGGGCTCAGCGTGGACAAGCTGAGGCCAAGACTCCAGGCAGGCCCCATCACAGGGTCCCCACCGTAGATACCAGAGAAAAGACCCAGTGCTTCTCACAAGCTCAAAAGAAACCACTGGAAATACGCCAGAGTATTCGGTTCTCCTTAACAGGGTCTGCCCTCAGGAGAGACTACTTAACAGAGCCTAACCAGCTGGGGAAAGAATAATATCCAACTCGAGCATCCTCCAGCAATCCTTTCCCACCCAAAAGGGGAGAAAACTTGAGAAGCACCTGTGGGGTTCACAGTCCAGAGGCCCAGGATCACTCAACACTGAGAGCCCAGAGCAACCCCCTCCATATCTCACCATCACATCTCTACAGGCCTGTTTACATAGACCCTTTATCCAGTCATCACACCTGGCTGTCAGGAAAAACACAAGACACATGAACAGTACAAGAGCCACAGCAAACCTTCGAACCAGATTCAGACACAGTAAAAGTGTCAGTCGCCCAGCTGTGTTAGAATGCTTGCGACCCCATGGACTGCAGCCCCCCCAGGCTCCTCTGTCCATGGAATTCTCCAGGCAAGAATACTGGAGTGGGTTGTCATTCCCTTCTCCAGGGGATCTTCCCAACCCAGGTCTCCTGCATTGCAAGCAGATTCTTTACCACTGAGCCACAGAGGAAGACACCAGTAGGCAACTGTAATTATCAGGCTGGGAACTTAACAACTATGATTAATACACTGAGGGATCTAATGGACAAAGCAAGACAGCATGCAAAACAGATGGGCAATGTAAACAGGGAAATGGAAATTCTTAGAAAGAACCAAAAATAAATGCTCAAGAGCAAAACAATGTAACAGAAGTGGAGGATGCCTTTGATGGGCTCATTAGTAAGGGCCCTCAGCTGAGCAATAAGCCTGAGCTCGAGGAAATGAAAACAGAAACTGCCAAAGCTGAAAAGCAAAGGAAAACAGGCTGAAAAAGACAACACATTGAAGGGCTACAGAACACAAAAGGTATAACAGACACAGAGCAAAAATACCAAGAGAAGAATGAGAGGTGGGACGAGAAGAAACAGTTGAAAAAATGACTGAGAAATTCCCCAAATTAATGTCAACTCCGTTCATGGATCACAGCCTTGTCGTGGTGAAGGGGCTTGCATAACTCAATGAAGCTATCAGCCATGCCATGCAGGGCCACCCAAGGTTCATAGTGGAAAGTTCTGACGAAACGTGGTCCACTGGAGGAGGGAACAGAAAGCCACTGCAGTATTAGAAACTTACACGGTTCACACTGTCTGCTGAACCCAGGGTAAGTAAGGCACGAGCCGGGAGGCTGGAAGAAAACTCGAGGAGCCGTAGGGACTGCAGACGTGTGTTTATTCTCTAATGGCGGATGCGGCGGCAAAAAGGGTTTCTCAGGTGGGGCTTACATATGTTTCCAGAACAAAAGTGGTCCCTGACCAAGCAACTACAACATGATGTGCATGCGCAGTGCTATAAGTGATCTCCACTGTTACAAAACCATGTATTTACAAAATGTGGGACGCAAGACCCTGACCACGCCATCTTGGCTAATTTGCTCTTTTCCTACACATGGTTAGAACCTTATGAAGGACAACTGACTGGTTCAAAATTGGGAAAGGAGTACAACAAGGCTGTATATTGTCACCCTGTTTATTTAACTTATACACAGAGTACATCATGTGAAATGCTGCGCTGGATGACTCACAAGCTGGAATCAAGATTGTTGGGAGGAATATCAACAACCTCAGAGATGCAGATGATACCACTCTAATGGTAGAAAGCAAAGAAGAACTAAAGAGTCTCTTGATGTGGGTGACAGAGTGAAAAACCTGGCTTAAAACTCAATATTCAAAAAACTAAGATCACGGCATCTGGTCTAATCACTTCATGGCAAACAGAAGAGGAAAAAGTGAAAACAGTGACAGATTTAATTTTCTTGGGTTCCAAAATCACTGCGAACAGTGAGTGCAGCCATGAAATGAAAAGATGCTTGTTCCTTGGAAGATAAGCTATGAGCAACCTAGACAGCATATTAAAAAGCAGGGACATTACTTCACTAACAAACGTCCAAACAGTCAAAGCTATTGTTTTTCCAGTAGTCATGTATGAATGTGAGAGTTGGAGTATAAAGAAGGCAGAGTGCCAAAGAACTTATGCTTTTGAACTGTGGTGTTGGAGAAGGCTCTTAAGAGTCCCTTGGACAGCAAGGAAATCAAACCTGAATATTCTTTGGAAGGACTGATGTTGAAGCTGAAGCTCCAATATGTTGGCCACCTGATGTGAAGAGCCAACTCACTGGAAAAGACCCTGATGCTGGGAAAGATTGAAGGCAGGAGGAGAAGGGGACAACAGAGCATGAGATGGCTGGATGGTACCACTGACTCAATGGACATGAGTTTGAGCAAACTCAAGGAGATGGTGATGGGAAGCCTGGCGTGCTGCAGTCCACGGGATCACAAGGAGTTGGACAAGACTGAGCGAGTGAACAACAATATCAAAAACAAGCCCACAGATCCAGTCATGAAGAGCACTCCAAGCAGGATGAATGTGTGGTGGGCGGGGAGGGAAGTATGAAGAGGCATGTCATCTTCAAACTATAGAGACTCAGAAGATTAAGTCCTGAGAGAGGCTGGGGGAAAAACACCTAGCTACTGAGGAACAAAGATAAAATTTCACCTGAATTCTCAGAAACCTTGAAAGCAAGAAGAGAGTGGAGCGAAATATTTAATATATTTCTTGGTCTTCTGTTGTTGCTGTTTTTTAAGCCACCCTGTGCTGCATATAGGATCTTAGTTCCCTGCCCAGGGATTGAACCTGGGCCCCTGCATGGGGAGCACAGGGCCTTAACCACTGGACTGTCAGGGAAGTCCTTGTGATTAAGGATCTTTGATGTTATGACTGCAAAAGGATTAGAACTCGCTGAAGGCTCAGATGATGGTTAGCATTTTTAGGCAATAATGTGTATTTTAATTAATCTATGTACACTGTTATTTTAGATATAATGCTTATTGCACACCCTACAGTATAGGGTAAACATAACTTTATATGCACTGGGAAACCAAAGTATTGGTGTGACTTGCTTTATTGCAATATGTGCTTTTTCATGGTGGTCTGGATCTGAACCTGCACTATCTCTGAGGTCTGCCTGTAGATCAGAAACGCAGATCTACATAAAGAAAGGAAAGCACTAAAAGAGAAATAAGTGAAGATAAAGCTAGAACTTTTATTTTTCCCATTCTTAATTAATCTAGCAATTTAACAATGTAATCTAACAAATCTAACAATTTGTCCAAAATAATAGCAACACAGTACCTGACCATGTACGTGTATTTATGCTTATGTGTAACAAATGAACGAAAATGCTGATACAAGGGACTGGAGGGAGAAGTCAGAATTATTTTGTTTTCATAAAGAACTCACGCTACCCATGAATCATCACAGTGTTAGATGAAAACAGACTTGAATCAGCTGTAATTATATTGGAAACTGTTGTGCTCTGTGACCAGTCATGACTGACTCTTTGCAACCCCCTCATGGACTGCAGGATTTCCCAGGCCACAAGACTGGAGTGGGTTGCCATTTCCTTCTCCAGGGGATCTTCCCGACCCAGGGATTGAACCTGGGTCTCCTGCACAACAAGTGGATTCTTTATCACTGAGCCACCAGGGAAGCCCTTGGAAACTGTTGGGCAACCAATTAAAAAAGAAAAACGGAACAAGTATAACTGATACGCTAAGAAAGGAGAGAAAACGGAGTCATATAAAATGCTCAATTAAAACATCAAAAGGCAGAACACCTAAATACATATGGAAAATTATATTAAGAGATCTGAAAAGAGAAATAAGCACAATATAATAATTGTAGGGGACTTCAATGCCCCATTTTCAACAACAGACAAATCATCCAGACAGAAAACTTAAGGCTCAGTGTCATTTGCTGTCACTTTCCCAAATCTCTGCAATCTGTAAGAAGTGAGGACGAACATTCTTATTGTTCATATAAGTTAGTTCCTTACTATTTAAAACAAACTTCTTGCTGGAAACCCCGGTGGTGTTCCCCTCCCCTTCATCCATATGTCACTTCTCTGGGTTTTTACAGAGACTAAACTTCAGACCACATTTCACTGTAACATCTTAGGTCCCAGAAAGGGGGTGGGCCGAGGGTCCGAGGAGACACGGGCCTGCAGGCCCAGCTCCCACTCACCTCTCACTTGCCCTTGAGCACAGAGAGCTAGGCAAAAACCACTGTGTGGGGTGGGTGGGCAAGACCAGCAAACTCCCCACCCCAGCCCAGGTGAGACTGGGGAGGGAACTCGGGAGAGCCTGGGCTTCAGGCCGGTCACCAAAATGCAGACTGGGGGGCTATGGAGAGGGGGCAGACCAGCTGGGGGAGAGACAGGCTCTGCTAGCGCTGAAAACACAGCCTAACATCACGCACTGGGTATTCGCAGGTTCTCACAGAGAACAGAAATTTATGTAAATCACTCACCAGAAAGATACATGCACTCTGACTTAGATTTCCCATAAAGGCATTTTTTTTTAATCCATTAAAAATTCAAGATATTGAGCCAAGGTTCACACAAGAAATCACTGACATGTCACCTTAGGAAAAAGTCAAAATTAATCATGATGTATGAATATCCCAGAGCCCAAACCAGCCACCCCAGCAGTCCCCACGGCCCCTTACCAACAGGCAGGTGCCCATCCACTCAGACACCAGCACGTCCACCTTCTCCGGCAGCACCACATCTTCCACCTTCTGCTGAAACACGGTGATGACATCAGCAAAGCCGTTCTGCATGACCAGCTGCCCCGTGTGCTGGGCCATCTCACTGGCCTCCACCGCAAACACCTACACGGGACAGAAACACCATCCATGTGTGCCTCAGCCCCACACCACGGCCAGCCGTCCACTCTCCCCGAGCCCAAGTCACCAGCAGAGTCAGAACCAGCATCAGAGACAGGAAAGGCAGCGTGCTGGACGGCGGCCAGTGGATGGCCACCCCGTCCCCTGATAGAGCCCCAGGAGGGCCTGCCTCTCACCCTGACTCCACCTTCTGCCAAAATGCAGGCACAGTGCTGCATGAAGGTGGAGAGAGCCCCTGCACCCATGTGGGCCGCCCACCCGAGCTAGTTACCAAACGGGGATCTAAGAAGTCCTGAATGCTACGTCTGGGTTCTGGCAGGATCGGAACTCGGGCAGTCACTGCGCTGCAGCTCCATTTGTGAGCCTCATCCACCTGCCTCGGGGCCACTGAGAGGGGTACCTCTGCTCGGCTCAGACGGGCTTTAAATGGCAGAGGACCGGAGCCCAGTGGGAGTCCCAGAGAGTGGTCCACCCTGACCCTGGCAGGGTCACATTTGGGGCGGGAGGACACCGTGACACCAGGATAGCAGTCTACACAAGCTGCCCAGCCCTGACATGTTTCTAACATAACTGAAGTAAATGTTTCACAAAAACATCCCACCAGTTTCAGCTCACTGTCCTGTCCTATTCCACTCTGTGCTGTTTGTGAGTCATCAAACCCAGAGCATGGCCTCTGGCGGGCTCAGCCTTCAGAAACATGCTGCCCTTTTCACTAAGCAGTGGAGGCTTCACCAAGACCCTGCTCAGAAGCTCCCTACTCACGGCTCTGGGCTGAGCATAATGTGCACAGAAGAGGCTGATGATTCCAGTCCCACAGCCGACGTCCAGAATCACTTTGTCTTTCAGGGATTCTTTATTCTGCAGGATAACGCTATGGTACTTAGTCGTTCGTGGCTGGTCTGCCAACATCTCCAAGTGAAGTTTCTAGACGAAATACATGTGAAGTAAGGATCACTGTCTGTCATTAGGGCTACGCTACACTGTGGCTTTGGACGATCAGAGCCTGACCTGACCCCATAAAGCCCCACCACCCCATGCCTAAAAATATGAGCAAAAATCAGAAGACCAAAAAACACCAACAGATACAGATAAGAGTAGACAGTGAAGGAATGAGGCAGAAGCTTCTGGAACCCCTCCCATTCAGCAGGGTGCACCTCTCCAACAGTCAGGTGAGCAAAGAAGCAGTTTGGACCTGGAGGTGGCATGGACACGGGAGAAACGGCCACGTTCCTGACCTGACACAACGTGGCCAAGATCCTCCAAGAGAGAATAGACGAGACTGGGAGAGGCTGCGGGAGGTGACGGCACCCCCCGGGAATCGAATGCATCCCCAGGGTGGCAGAGCAGGGCTCCTCCATGCAGCTCAGGAGGCCACAGGGGGCACCCCCAGCACCGCCCCCACACATTCGAATGCATCCCCAGGGTGGCAGAGCAGGGCTCCTCCACGCAGCTCAGGAGGCCACAGGGGGCACCCCCAGCACCGCCCCCACACACCCCCCAAGGAGACCCAGCCCCAGCAGCACTTGGGGAGGTGGCGGTGACAGAGGCCTGGCAACCCAGACCAGGTCGGTGCCAACAGGAGCCTGCGTGGGCCTCGCGAGCCCATGGCCCCTCAGGGACAGACAGACAGACAGAGGGAGACCACCAAAGTGGACTAAGTTGAGACCCAGATGTCCTGCCTGCGGGTCAGAACCAGGATACGGAACCCAGGGAAGAGGTGTGGTTGCATTCACCTCAGATACAATACACTTGAGAGCAAAGAGCATCAGGTCATGACATGAACAGCAGACGACTGAGGATGGGGGTGGTGGGGAGCCTCTAGGTCATAGCCACACGAGAATCGCTGCATCAAGAGAACATGACAATTCTAAAGGCTCCTGTGCCTTCACAACAGAGCTTCAAAACGCACAAAGCAGAAGCCAGGAGAAATGCAACAAGAAACACAAATTCACCATTACAGCCAGAGATGTCCATACCCTTCTCTCAGTAACTGACAGAAGTAGAAAATCGTTAAGAGACACAGATGTGAACAACAGTATCAGCTAACTTAATCCAACAGATAGGAACGGCACACTTCACCAAACTACTTACAAGAATACATAAAAACATCTACAGATTCACCTAGAAAGGTACACAACCATGTATGATCAAAATCTTAAAACTTAAAGAGACATAACACAAGGGTTAAGAAACGAGGAGAGTCGGCATATCATCACAAAGATGTCCCTCCTCCCGAAATTCACACACACTTTCCATAAAACACATTAAAATGCCAACCAAGAGGGCAGGGGCAAAGCGGGAACACAACAAAACAGTAATAAAATTAGTTTCAAAAAATAAACAGATCAGGCCATGGAAATGCTAAAAATGTAAATCAAAACTGAGATACGTGTTTTTTGCCTTTAAGATGGGAAATATTGTTTCAGCTGGCAGCTTTTTCTGCCAAGACCTGCAGGAAACGCACCCTCTGCGCTGCTGGGAGGAGCACACTCAGCTGACCTTCCCAGCAGGTGGCTTGGCTTGATCCACCCCAGAAAAACTCATACACACATCCCTCAAACCCACCCCATTCCCATTCCAGTGGGAATCTAGCAAAGGGGACCCGGATTCATGTAAGAGAACATCCACTACAGCATTGCTTCGCATGATGAAAAGCAAATATGATCCTTTTAAAATCAACACACTGGAGATATTGAAAAGAACAAGCTTTCAAAACAGTACAGCTAGGTGAGAAAGGTGATAATTATATCAGGACTACTCCTTTTCTATAAATTTAAAAGAATAAAACAGATGCAGCTTAGACTTGAAAGAAGTATCTATGCTGCTGTTGAAAGAAATCTCACAGAGGAGACAGACCTCAGCTTCTCATTAACTCTTTCTTACTAGATGGAAACCTCTAAGCATGTACACAGTGGCAGATTTTCTTTTCTTAGGCTCCAAAATCAGTGTGGATGGTGACAGCAACCATGAAATGAGAAGACGCTTCCTTCTCATAAGGAAAGCTATGACAAACATAGACAGCATATTAAGACGCAAAGACATCACTTTGCTAACAAAGGTTCATATAGTCATGTATGGATGTGAGAGTTGGACCATAAAAAAGGCTGAGCACCAAAGAATCGATGCTATTGGACTATGGTGCTGGAGAAGACTCCTGAGAGTCCCTTGGACAGCAAGGAGATTAAACCAGTCAATCTTGAAGGAAAGCAATCCTGAATATTCATTGGAAGGACTGATGCNCACCAAAGAATCGATGCTATTGGACTATGGTGCTGGAGAAGACTCCTGAGAGTCCCTTGGACAGCAAGGAGATTAAACCAGTCAATCTTGAAGGAAAGCAATCCTGAATATTCATTGGAAGGACTGATGCAGAAGCTCCAGTACTACGGCCACCTGATGCGAAGAGCCGACTCATTAGAAAAGACCCTGATGCTGGGAAAGACTGAGGGCAGGAGGAGAAGGGGATGACAGAGGATGAGATCGTTGGATAGTATGAATTTAGACATGAATTTGAACAATAGGATGTGAACTTTGGCAATCTCTAGAACCTAATGAGGGACAGGGAGGCCTGGTATGCTGCAGTCCATGGGGGTCACAAAAAGTTGAACATAACCAAGAGACTGGACAAGCATGTACACGCATCAGCGGTTTTTCATTTAACATTTTTAATGATCCAGTATGATGGGGGCTTCCCAGGTGGCTCAGTGGTAAAGAATCTGTCTGCCAATGCAGGAGATGCAAGAGATGAGGGTAAGATCCCTGGGTCATGAAGATCCCCTGGAGCGGGAAATGGCAATCCACTAAAGTATTCTTGCCTGTGAAATCCCATGGACAGAGCAGCCTGATGGGCTACAGCCCGTGGGATCACAGAGAGTTGGACACCACGGAGCACACACATGCACAGTACGTATCTACAAAAGGTACGCTGAAAAGCACCTGGAGATTTTACCTGACAGTAACAGCGCAAGCACTCTCGCACCCACACCCACCCTGAACCCTGCCAGCACCCCAGGCTTCCCACCTGGCCTCGCCAAACACAGACCCTCTTTACCAGTACTGCTACTGCTGCTGAGTCACTTCAGTCGTGTCCAACTCTGTGTGACCCCCTCCCTGGGATTCTCCAGGCAAGAACACTGGAGTGGGTTGCCATTTCCTTCTCCAACGCTTGTAACCATCATCTAAATTCTAAGGGGAATCCGGTCCCTGATCTCCAGATCCACCACTTCTATACACATTCACAAACAACACCTTTTAACATTGCTTTATAACTTTACAGAATTGAATCTACCGTATTTGCAACATTCATCATTCAAGTATCTATTTTATTTAGTCTAAAATATAAACAAGGCTGTCTGAACCATAGGACTTTGGGTCTTTATTTACACTGGAAAAAACCAAACTAATAAGCTAGTTATTTATAGGTAATACTATTGATCTATATTGTTTTACATTTTATTTTTACAGTAAAATTTACTACTTTTAAACACTGAGAAAAGTTTATAACTCCATTGCTCAGATAGTATCTCTAAACCAGGAGTTGGTACATTACAGCCAATCCAGTCCATCACCTGCTTTGGTATGGCCTGCAAGCCAGGATTGGCTTTTACATTTTTAAATGGTTTTTAAAAACCCAAAAACATGACACATGAAATCATATGGAAGGCAAATTTCAGTGTCTATGGATAACGTTTTATTGGAACACAGACCTGATCGCTGAAATTTTTAAGGCTGCTTCAGCACTTGGATGGCAGAGCTGAGCAGCTGAGCTGAAGAAAGCATCTGCAGGCCCCACTCTGAACAGTTGAGCTGAAGCCCAGAAATTATTTTTAAAGTTAGAACCTAAAACCAGAGAGCGGCAAGGGGCCCCGCCTGGCTGGGTGGGCAGGAGGCAGTACCAGGGTTCCATAGCTGCCGAAGTACTCCTCATCCTGCCAGGAATCCTCGGGGTCCCAGTCCTCCAGCTGCTTCCCCAGGTGGTTCGCCGGGATGTACCCACAGCAGCCCGCACGCTCGCCCCACCACCAGTCCGCAGTCGTCTGTCTCAGGATGAGGATCTTTTCCCCTCTCAAAAAGCTGAGCTGGAGAAACATATATAGAAATGAAAACTAAAGAAAAACCTGCAGTTGGTATTTCAGTGTGGCTCAGCGATCAAGCCCCATCACTGGCCCCAAATCACAGCAAGTGCAATAAGGAGTCAATGGGAAGGACATCAACTGACAGTTTATGACAATCACACTAGGATTTCGAGATTTCTGTGGAAATCTACAAGAAACAGAAGCAGACCTTAACAAGAAAGATCAATGTCCTCCAGCTGCTTCCCCAGGTGGTTCGCCGGGATGTACCCACAGCAGCCTGCACGCTCGCCCCACCACCAGTCCGCAGTCGTCTGTCTCAGGATGAGGATCTTTTCCCCTCTCAAAAAGCTGAGCTAGAGAAACATATATAGAAATGAAAATTAAAGAAAAACCTGCAGTTGGTATTTCAGTGTGGCTCAGCGATCAAGCCTCATCACTGGCCCCAAATCACAGCAAGTGCAATAAGGAGTCAATGGGAAACATCAACTGACAGTTTATGACAATCACACTAGGATTTCGAGATTTCTGTGGAAATCTACAAGAAACAGAAGCAGACCTTAACAAGAAAGATCAAACATTTTCAAACAGCTTGAATTTCTTAGAACAGAATTTCTAACAGCCCATTCACTGTTAACTCAGTTAAGTGGTAATGATTCAGTTGCTAGAGGCTTATGCTAAGAAATTACTATTATAAAGTAAAGAAAGTGGCATTCAAGTAGATGTTTTTATTTTACAGCCAATTTTCCCTAACTAAATAGGTTACAAGGAAGGGTTTCAAAGGAGAAAGTGAAGCAGATACCTCCTCCCCCACCCCATCCCTCACCCGAGGAGTCTACACATCAGGTTTGGGAGCTGAATCTGTTAGGCTGGAAGGGTCACTGGCTGGTCTCCTGTTGCTGTGAAGTATCTGAATACTTCTTTATTTAGATGTGCTGACTTCTGCAAATTTTATATCTAATCCTGCCACCGAACAAGCTGAACCCACACAGAATAAACCCACATGGCTACCTGCGTCTCGTCGGTGGCAGAATAGTCTGCGATGGCCACGAACTCCTCCGGGTGCACCGCCCCCTCGAGGCACTCCTGCTCAGCCTGTGCGGTAGGGTCCTCCTCCTCCTGCTCGGAGCAAGGGAGAAAGGCAGGTGATGGGGGCAGCCTTCCCTCTCCCTGCCTCTCCCTGCCTCTCTCTCCGTCTGCCTCTGTCACTCTTCATCTCTCTACTCGATTCTTTCCCACTCACTCTCCTCCCATTCAGCACCTCTCACTGCCGCTGGCTCCCCACCATCCCCTACCCTCGGCTGCCTGCTGTCCATGTAGAGCATGCGGCAGCAGGAGGGCCCCACACCTCTCCTGCTCAGGTCACACCTGTGGCCGCAGACACGCATACACACTCAGTTTAGTTTTTCTATTGACATCGCTTTCTGTCAAAGATTTCACAGCCACTTTTTAAATTTTTTCTCTTTTCACTCACATAATACCTTGTGGGGAAACTCCCCACCTGCAGAACTCCAACTGATAATGTTCAGTGTCTACTTAACATTGCACAGCAGAATTTTTCCTGAGTCTTCAGTCATCCCCGACTGATGGAGTTTCTGTTATGTCCACAAACATCTGCGCACATTTTATCCTGACCCGATGACATTTTATCTTTATGGGATAGACTGACATGGCTGAAACACAGGCACAGTTTTCATCAAGCATCTGTCAGGTTCTTTCCATAAAGGGTGAGGCACTTCGCCAGCAGTGCATGGAGTGACCGACGTGAGTTTTTGCAGAGTGGTATGTGTAAAGACTCCAGAAAGGGTAAATATGTGGGGAAACACTATTACTTACACTTTATAAAGAAGACTTCTGATAGTACAGAGAAACAGTAATAATTTATTGTGGGGTTTATAACATATATAGAAGTAAAATATGTTACAACACAGCACAAAAATAGGGGCTGGTAAACGGAACTAATTTGGAGGATTCTTACATTGTGAAAGGGTTAAAAAAAAAAAAGACTGAGATAGGTTAAGGATACACAACGTAATTTCTTGGGTAACCACTAGAATGAAATAAAAAGGTACTGCTAAAAAGTCAATCGAGAAGATAACATGGAATTATAGAAAATATGTTATTAATCTAAAAGGCAAGAATGGAGAAAGGTAAAAAGGAAGAACTGTGACAAAAAGGAAACAAACAGCAAGATGTTAGACTCATTATGCTAAATGTTAACGGACTGAACACTAATTAAATGGCAAAAATTACCTAACAGGAAAATAAAAGACACAACTACAGGCTCTTTACAAGAGGAATACTTTAAATATATAGAGTTAGACTAGTTGAAAATATAGATATATATGTGTCTGTGTGCCATGCAAACACTAACCATAAGAAAGCTGGTAGAGCTACATTAATATAAGACAAAGTAGATGCTAGGCAAGAAGTATTAATAGGTAAAAAGAGAGACTTCATAAAAATAAGAGGGTCAACTAATCTAGTAAACAAATACTAATCTAAACATATGTACCAAGTAACAGAGATTCAAAATATATGAAGCAAAAAGTGATAGATCCAAATGAAGTAACAAAAAAAAGACAAATCCACAATCACAGCAGAGATTCTTGAAACTCATCTCTCTCAGTAGTTGACAGAACAAATGGACAAAACATCAGACAGAATCCAGAGATCTAAGCAATACTAATGACCCATATGACGGTGATGACACCCTGATGGCTGAGTTGGTAAAGAATCCGCCTGCAACGCAGAAGAACCCTGTTCGATTCCTGGGTCGGGAAGATCTGCTGGAGAAGGGATAGGTTACCCACTCCAGTATTCTTGGGCTTCCCTTGTGGCTCAGCTAGTAAAGAATCCGCCTGCAATGCAGGAGACCTGGGTTTGATCCCTAGATGGGAAAGGTTACCCATTCCAGCATTTGGTCTGAAGAAGTCCATGGGGTCGCAAAGAGTTGGATACAAGTGAGAAACTTAGGGAAAAAAAAAAAAAAGACCCATCTGACAGTGACAACACTGGACACTACACCCCACAACTACAGAATAACTTAGTCTCTGAAAGTGTACACGCAACATCCAAGGCCACACAGGGTCTTACAATGAGACCATAAAGCTTACAATGAGACCAGTGTAAGGCCAAATAGGCCTTACAATGAGACCATAAAGCAGGCATGAGTAAATTTCCAAAGACTGAAATGTTGCATTTTCAGACCAAACATAAGTAAAACCAAAAGTAATAACAAAAATATAAAATTTCTCAAATATCTGGAAATTAAGCAACATACTCTGGATAGCCCAGAAATTTTCAAATTTCCAACACTTTGGTAAGTTCTAAAAAGCTCACTCATACAATATCATATATTGCTCAAAGATGCCTACATAAGGTATAAAAGTATAAAAAACGGTCCAGACACACAAAGATCAATTCATAATTTATAGTAGTGCTTGCCCTTGAGATAGAAGAAGAATGGGACTGGAGAACAGATTTTATTCATGATTTTTTAATTCATTCTTATATTCTGAAGTAAATATGACAAAATGTTAGCAAGTTTCCATTTCTCTGTAATATGTAATTTTTTGCAGTATTATTCTATAAATACTGTCACCCTACTTCTTTAACTTATATGCAGAGTACATCATGAGAAATGCTGGGCTGGAGGAAGCACAAGCTGGAATCAAGATTGCCGGGAGAAATATCAATAANTGAGTTTGAGTAAACTCTGGGAGTTGCTGATAGGGAGGCCTGGCGTGCTGCAGTCCATGGGGTCGCAAAGAGTCAGACACATTTGAGCGACTGAACTGAACTGATTCTATAAATGTTCCAGTACTTTTTAATTTCTCAAAAGAAAATTAAGACATCCACAAAATTAAAATATTTTATGATAATTTTAAGAAACAGATAAGTGAAATGATCCAACTATAAATAAAATTTCTATATATAAAAACCACATGAATTTAGAACAATAATTAGAATGAAAAGAGAAAAAAAGAAATGTCAAAATTGATATCAAAGACATGAAAATGTTTTTTAAAAACATTATTTATTAGATTATTGATTTTTAATTTTACATAATCAACATTCCTTGAAATTTAAGGTGACTTTTTTTTTTTACTGTTAACTTGAATGATACGTGTTACAAGCAGAAAAGAAGCATAAATATATAAATCTTTTCTAATATCCAAGCTGTGTCTAACATATTCTGTCTGGGATGTTTTTAACAACTAAAAAAAAAAACCTGTGCTTGCTTCACCAGCTCAAGTGCCAAAAATGGAACCCTGGGTTCCTGGGAGGTGTTTACAATGCCCAATTCAGAATGTCCTCTGTGACCTCACAGTGCATTTTCTCTGTTTAAGCAGCCCCTGGTGGTGGCCACCTTCCAAGGTCCAAGGAAATCATTATCACTCCGTGATTGAGTGAGCTCCACTCTCTGTAATGGTCCCAGTCTTTAAATACAAGTTCTCGAATAGCAGCACCGAAATTACCTGCAACTCACTTCTGGGGCAGTCACCTGGTGTTGCCATGGTTCCTTTGGGATCTGTACATAACTGCTGCTTTAATGTTTCATTTTTCCCTTCATTTCTATTTTTTAAAAAAGAGAGAATGAGAAAATGCTTGTTATGTTGCATCATAATGTTCACTTATCTTTTAAGGTCCATGAAAAAGTCTTCTACCAAATGGAAGTAAACATAAAAAATGTGAAAATGAACAGAAATGAAATTTATAAACACAGCTCTTACTAAATCAACTGTAAATATTTAAAATTTATGAACTCCAAACAGTGTATATTTTCATCAGTAGCCTGCAAAGTGTTAAATGTTTATTGGCCAAAGCTTGTTACTTTCTGTTAGATCACTGGACAAATTTAAAACAATAAATTGATGTCAACCCTTAACTTGGAACCCTGACAACTGTGACTCCAATTAAAATTTCGTATCTGGGGCTTTAAAGTGTTTCCACTAACAGGAACCAAGGTCTGTACTTCCCAGAGACTTTTCAGTTTCAATCTTATTTTTCCAGTGACAGTGTAACTCACATTGTGTCTGCGATGGATATGTGTTTTTTCAATTACACAGCAATTCCTCGTTTAAAATGAGTGCTTCACATTATCAATCAATACCTAGTACTTGTTTTTGTGACATTTATAATTACAAATACTAATACACATACATTGCATTTTCACTGGAAACTGCACTGAGGCCAGGATGGGGCGGGGCCGGAAGATGAGGCGGGGCCGGACTGTTGGCTGGGGTCAGGGTGGGCGGGGCGGAATAATAGTGCGGTGCTCGGCTAAGGGGCGGGGCGGGGCAGGGTTGGGGGAGAGGGCTCTGAAGGGCAAGTGGCCCGTGGGCTGGAGACAGAACTAGGTGAAGGGAGGATGAAGGGAGGGGCGGGGCGTGATGCGAGACAGGAACGGGTAGTGGGGGAAGAGAATGGGACCTGTGCTCGGAGACGGTGGTTCCGGACGCCAAAGACAAACGGGAGAGTGGGCGTGGCTGTGGGAGGGGCGGGCCCTGTGGGCGTGGTTGGGGAGACTGCGGGGCAGTGAGGCAAAGGGTGCGGTGTCGTGGGCGTGGCGCGAATGGGGGGCGTGGTCTGGTGGGCGGGGCGCCGTGCCCGCGGTCGGGGGCTAGCAGAAGCAGGAAGGCGCCGGGAGCCCGGGAAAGAGAACGGCGGCCGGGTCCGCCGGCTGACGCACACCTCGGGAGAGGACCCCCCCTCCTTTGGCATGCCCAGCTTTATGCGCGGTCCAGCCGCCCGAGCTGCCCATGGGAATCCTACCTCAGTCGCGTTTCTCCGCTGAGGTCGGCGTCCACACCTCCGAAACGGAGTGGAACCCGGCATCCACCAAGAACCCAAGCCACCGCCCTCTCTCCGCGCAGGCGCTCTGTGAACAGACTGCCCGCCCCAACCCCGCCGTAGAAGGCGCCACCCTGGACCCGGCTCCGCGAGCATGCGCCACCGTCCACGCCCACCCCCCCTTGTCTGGAGAGTGAGCCAACGCCCTGAACTGCGCAGGCGCGGTGCGCTCGGGCGCATCCCGGTGAAGACTCAGTCCTGGGTGGAGCTCCCTGTGCAAACTCATTTTGAGGTCCCGCCTTCGGTTGTCGCGCGAGCTCCAGCTCTGCGCTCGGATGCCGGCTCGTGTTCGAGCTCTCGTCCCATGGGGCGAGGGGGTCGGACGGCGTAGGGTTGGCGACGTCCTTGTCCGGGGTCGGAAGCCGGCTGGGAGTGACAGAAATGGCTGATTTCCGCCGGAGCAGGACCGGGAAAGCCTTCCTGTGCTTTTCTTGTAATAATTCAGTAACCTTTCCAACCACACGGTAAAGTGTAAATCCCGTGTCATTCTTTCCAGGGCAGGGGGCGGCTGGAGCTGGAAAGGTAGCAGGAAATGGTCAAAATCCTAGAGAAAGTAGGGCGGCGGGGGCCGGGGTCGGGTAGACGGTGTGAGTGGGTGTAGGTGTCAGATTAACAAGATGACGTTTCGGCGGCTGTATACTGGTGATCATTGCACAGAAATGTGAACTATTTAATACCACTGACTGTAGATTTATAAATGGTTAAGGTAATAAATTTGTGTATTTTATAATTGAAAAACAGCAGAAACACAAATTAGCAGTATAAGGAATGAAAAAGGAAGTACAGATGCTATAGATTTTTTTTAAGATAATAAACTGATATTATGAAACTTTGTCTAAAAAATTTAATAAATTAGATTCCTTGAACAACTTGCCAAAACTGAACAGGAATAGTTAGATAAGCTGCATGGTTCTAGATCTTAAAGAAATTATTTCATAATTTAAAATCTTGCAACGAATACTCCAGGAGCAGACAGCTTCACTATTAAATGCTTCCAAACATGTAAGGAAAAATAATAATAGTGACCCACTCCAGTATTCTTGCCTGGAGAAACCCCATGGACAGAGGAGCCTGGTGGGCTACAGTCCATGGGGTCACAAAGAGTTGGACATGACTCAGTGACTAACGCTTTCATTATAAGTTAACGTCATTAAATGCATACATACTAACATGAACAACAAATTTAAAACAAATACAAATAAAAGGAAGTCTAAAAAAAATAATAATAGTGTTACACAAAATCTTCCAGAAACTAGAGAATACTGAAATACTTCTTAACTGGTTCTATGAGACCAGCATCGCCCTGTTATAAAATACTAGTTGAGGCAGAAAGAAGTTAAAATGGCTGCAACAGAGAGCTTTACTCAGCACGCAGTCCCACGGAGTTAAGGCGCAGACCACAGCAGCTGAAGGACAGTGCACCCTGAGAAGATTAAAGGGTTTGGCAGTCTATGGTTTGGATACACAGGCCTCTAGATGCATATCTCAGGAAGAATTTCAGTAACCCAGATCCCTGCATCCTCCCATACATAGAAAAGTACTAAAGTCACTAACTTGAGATATCTGTTCTTTGTGATTAACAGTAATGTTTTACCAAGATACATGCTTGACTCTTTGTATTCCCAGGCCAAAATCGTATATAAACTGCTTCTCCCTTAGTCTTTGGAGCAGTTTCCTCAGAGCCACTAACAGGCTGTCTCCCAAGCTATAGTGCTCAGCAAGACCTTGACTAAAGCATAAACTCACAACTTTTATGTTGTGTGTCTTTCTTTAACTGAACATAAGCAAAAATAATCCAATAATAAATAAAATGATTATCATGACTGAGTGTGGTTTATACTAGAAATGACAGGATGTTTAACGTTTAAAAATCAATATTCTTTCCACTTTACAGATTATGAGGGGAAAACATATGAGTACTACATAGGTGCTAGAAAAAATATTTCATAAAATTCAAGACCCACTAAACTCTCACAAAACTAGAAATAGAAATGTCTTAGTCTGTGAAAGGACACACGATAATATTTAACAACAAAATGAATGCTTTCCTCCTGGTTTCAGGCACAAGACAAGATTCTCCTCTATCAGCTTGTCTATTCAATTGGCAGTCTTATTTAATGCAAGAAGGCTAGAGAAAGACAAAGAATGTGCAGACTAAACTGAAGATCTAAAAATGTCATTATTTAGAGGTGGCATGATTGTGTATGCAGATAATCCAAGATAACCCACAAAAAAGCACTACAATTACAAGGTGAATTTTTAAGGTCCCTAGATGAAGGCTCAATATGGTAACAACAGTTGGAAATCGTGATCTAAAAATTTTGTGTAGAATAGCACCAAGTAACATCAAGTGTCATCTGTCCTTTAGTAACTGAAAGAACAACTGGACAAACATTCAGGATACAGAATATCTAACAACACTGTCACAGCCATGTTTTAATTAACAATCAAAGTATCCAAAATTTACCAAACAACTTCAGAGTACACCTTATTAAGGTCATATGGAATGTTACCCAGGGCAGACCATAGATTGCTCCATAAAATACGCTGCAAAGATTGAAATCTTAGAGTTTGTGTTCTGACCATAGTGAAGTAAAATTATAAATCAATACAATAAGAAGACTAAAAATGTCCCAATGTTTAGAAATTAAGCAGCATACTTTGGAGTAGTCCATGGGTGAAAGGAAGAAACCAAAGAGATAACATTTTTAATTCCACACTGAATGTTAATGAAAACATACTGCTATGAACTGAATGTCTGCATAACTCCACAACTCATACTAACCCCAAGGTGATGGTGTTAGGAACCAGAGCATTTCAGATGAGATAACACCGTGGGAGTATAGCCCTCATGAATGGGATTAATGCATTTATAAAACAGACCCTTAGTGAAAGTGAGAAATATATTTAAGGGACTAGATCTGATAGAGTGCCTGATGAACTAAGGACAGAGGTTCATGACATTGTACAGGAGATGGGGATCAAGACCATCCCCAAGAAAAAGAAATGCAAAAAAGCAAAATGGCTGTCTGAGGAGGCCTTACAAATAGCAGTGAAAAGAAGAAGCAAAAAGCAAAGGAGAAAAGGAAAGATATATCCATCTGAATGCAGAGTTCCAAAGAATAGCTAGGAGAGATAAGAAAGCCTTCCTCAGCAATCAATGCAAAGAAATAGAGGAAAACAACAGAATGGGAAAGACTAGAGATCTCTTCAAGAAAATTAGAGATACCAAGGGAACATTTCATGCAAA